TCTATTTGAACAGAATGACTAAAATAAACTTCTTCTTTCAGGGTCGGGTGACGTCAGAGTGGTTGTGAAAGAAGGGAGTGACGCCATTTTACCCTGTTCACTCAGCACCAAGCAGAACGCTGAGTTTGAACTCTTTGACTGGAAGAAAGATGGTCCGAAGGAGATTTTCTTTTATGATGGAGGCCTTCATTACAACAACGGCCGTCCAGGTCAAGATCAGCAGTTCAAAGGTCGCGTCTCACATTTTCAAGAAGAACTGAAGTACGGAAACGCCTCCATCATCATCAGAAATACGAAGATGACCGACAGTGGAGACTACACCTGTGATTTTCCACTTCTTCAGCCAAGACCGATATTCAACATTCAGCTTGTTGTTGGTGAGTGTTTTCATTAAAGGGGCATTATGTAGTTTTCAGCGACCACTAGCGGTGCAGTTTTTAGAGTGCAACCAGGCGTGTGCTCGAACTCAAGAGCGAGCAAACTCCGACACAGAAAGAGCAAAACACCAGGAGACACTTTCACCTGAGTATCAGTAAAATTACTAAAAATCTAAACTGAACGTTACGAAGCAAACAACAGTAGAGCCGTGCTAAAGTAGCTGGCTGCTCCTGCCTTGCATCAAGGCCGGTATAAACATCTCGTTCAGTCTGACGGGCTACATATATACTTATAATAATTGTGTAAATAGTAAAACAATAAAAACGCAAACAGGGCAGTAAAAGTGCTTTTTAAGTTCAGAAACATTTTGAGTCCCCCCTCTCGTGCCTCACAGTGGTTTGGTCCACTGCCTGCTTTCCCTCTCAGGAGTCCGGTGGCAGAAAACCAGTTCAAATCCTTTCGTAGTTGTGAAGCTCCAGTAATGCTGAGCAGGCTGGCAGAGCTGTTTTATGCACTTTAAACACTGGATGAACTAATTATTCCTAGAGCCATAGAAACTACATACAGTTAATCTATATTGTTCGTCCAGATCTCCAGCTGTCGTTTCATCCTCCTGTACTTTCAGTGATGCTCTTGGTATCAAACATTTACCTGACGCCTTTTTCTCCTTCTTCCCCTTTTTTTCCTTTACCTCTACTTGTTCTTTTCTTTCCTCATAAGAAACTATAATCAGACATGGAGGGTGGGCTCGGTAACGGTGTATATTGTGGGCTATTTGTATTAACAGTAGGTAATTTTACACCTTTAGTTTAGTGTTGATTTACTTTAATCTGCTCCTCTGCTCTTCTCCCCACACTCACACACACCTAGTCTGCACCTTGATATGAACCGAACTGTGGATTTGGTGTCGTTACACCCCTAATGTTCACAAATGGCTGTTTATTTAAAATTACTAGCCTAATAACACATGACTAGTTCATAACATCACCCTGCACTGTGCAGTAATTAATGTTCTAATTATGTTAATATTCTCTTTCAGATCTCACCTTCAGAAACCGTTTAAACGAAATCACAGGTGCGTCACTGATCTGTACATGTGTGCTACAACTCTCTGGGCCTCAGTATCATTTAAACGTTTTTATGCAGGACCTTCATGTTGACTAACCATCACAGCAGGTTCTGCACATTTGGATGTTACTGACCCTGAGATTTATATTTGAATGGAAACTACATTTGTAGTGTTCTGTTTACATGATTTTCTTATTACTGTGTTCACAGGTGCAGCTGCAGAGCCGTCCATCACGATAGTTAATATCACAGCGTTTGGGGTCCTGCTGCATTGTGACGTTAGAGGTGCTTTTCCAAAACCTACAGTAGAGTGGCAGGACAGGGCTGGAAACAAACTTCCTGCTGAGGAGACACAGGTCTCAGAAAGAGAAGGCAGCTTCTACATCATCCTCCAAACCACTGTGACCAAGACCGAAACCAACCGCTTCCACTGTGTAGTCCAGCAGGACGACATCGGTCATATAATCAGTAGTAACATCGTTTTGCCAGGTGAGATTCATTTTAGTGGTTTTATCTGCAAGTAGTTTTACATGTTCATAGATTTTAGCAGCATGGCCGCCTCAGTAGTAGTTCTGTGTAGGTAATAACCAGCGTGCTGTACATGATATACAGTTTACATTCTGAGTGTGACTCTAGGTTTTGTTGTGTGTTTCAGAGAAACTGTTTGAGGACACGTACAGCAAAGGAGTTGTCGCAGGATTGTTTGGTGGATTCTCTTTAGGAGCTCTAACTGTTGGTGCAGTTCTAGTTTTGCTTGTAGCTACAAAGATCATCACAGTACTCTGTAATAAAGGTCAGTTTATATAATGGATTTTATCAACATAACAGATACAGAAACCATCTCATGTCACAATGTTCTTTCTTCAATGTTCTTTTTTATTAAATTGATTGATTTGCTTTTATTGGACAGGAGCAGCTAAACAGAAAAACAGGAAGAAAAACAAAAGAGTGGAGGAATCAAACCTGCAGGCTCCACTAGGTGAGTTACCGGGCGCCCCTTACGTTTGGTATTTACATAAAAAAAAGAAATTGTTAAAAAATATATAGCAAGCTTTAAATACATAACTGTCCATTAAATGGATGTTTTTGACAGTTTCTTTAAACAGATGTTTGAATATCAAATTCAAATTAGCTTTATTGGCATGAATGTGTAGCAACAATATTACCAAAGCTGCATATAAAGCACATAAGGACAATTAATTTCATATATATTATATAAGAAAATAAAACAGCAAAAGTTGCTTGTGTGTGTAATACCAAATACAATAATAACAATAAAAAATATATAATATAAACAGTCTGTAAAAATAAATATTAAAAAAAGTAAATAAGTAAAACAATAAGCCTGTGTTAGAAAATTAAAGTAATATATTAAAATAAATAAAGTGTGTTATTATAATATACTAAAAAAAATTAATAAAACTGTAAATTAGTGTATATTAATAGACAATAAAAACGTTAATTATTTCATTTAATTAAAATTAAAAAAAATCAGTATCAAATGTGAGATTAAAAACTCAACAATTACTAAAATATCACACAATCAAAATAATAATTTACAATTATTTATTAGTCTAAGTTTATATCATTCACTTCTTGTTTTTCCATTTTGTCTCTGGAAACATTTGAAAGTAAAAGTCCTGAAGATTCTGCCTGTCTGCTGATACTGACCACCATTTAAATGATCTGATTATCTCCTGAAGTGGATTTGTAAAAACAAACTGAGCTGTTATGTCCTGATTCTTAAAATGATTGAACACACCTGAAAAAGTTGAAACATCAGCTCTGAAACAAAACTCGCTCACTTGTGCTGCTTTGTGACGGAAATATTCACAAATGGCAGAATTTAATTTATTTTTGGCTGCTTGAGAAGTTTTCAGTAGCACTTAATAAAAAGGTAATGATTAAGTAATACCAGGTAATAACCAGGTAATAGCTTGGTATTAACAATGAGTATATCTGGGTACTTTGTTGTTAAGTTGGCTCTTAAAATTTATTTTCTAAATGTTTCTTTATGGCCCCGTGTTAAAAGTTTGGAAGATAAAGGAGGTTACAACATAATTTAGTAATTAGGGAGTTACTTCCAAGAAATTTCACGTGATTTTGAAGGTATTACGCTGAAAGTAGCCTAAAACATCAACCTGTATTACCTCATTAACAGGTTATTGTCCCATTATTGTCAACATATTACCAATTTTAATCCAAATATTGCTGATATAGGTACCACATTTCCATCAGCATATAATACTAAATAAGTTTTGCTTTGTTGCAATCTTTAAATCTGTTTCCCTGTTATTACACTTTGTTTGTGACCATCATTACCCTGTTACATACATTTTAGTCTAAAACCACTCAGATAAATTGGGGTCTGGATGAGTAACTGAAAATTAATCAAAACTGATATTCAGAACCTCTAACAGACGTAATTTTCCCTTGTTAAGATTTTTTAAATCCTATTATTTCCCCACAGTATGTGTTATGTTCTTTCCTCTTAACAACATACTACAGCATGTGTAGTCATGTGACTTCACCCCATCCAGTCCTGCTCAGCTTCTTGACCGGAGTCTGAAGCCCAGAATAGATGTTCAACAGCGGTGGTGCACCAAATACAGGGGGGACATTCTTTGTCGTAGCACCACAGAGTCTCCGCCGCTGCACTCCCGACTTCCGTCAACATTACGTATCAGTTAGCAAAAAACGACTTATGACATTCATGAATTACCTTTAATAGTATATTGATATATTTAATATTATTAGTATTTAATAGAGCATATCGACAGCACAAACTGGTCAGTGAACTATGAGGACAAACAAAACAAAAGTTCATTAATCGTAATCGAGGTAAAATATTTAATTGTGATTTTAGGTCTAATCTTCCAGCCCTAGATACACCCATTGTTAAAACCAAGCTATTACTTTATCTTTAAAATAAAAATGTTCCCAAGTTATTACCAACCTATAATGTAACGTGCTACCAAGTTTTCTTACTCTGAGGTCAGATTTGTCCTCAGGTTCTTAAAAAGTTTTGACTCAGCTCTTCATTCATATGAGCAGCTCCGTAGTTCAAGTAACAATAGGTTAGTTAGCGGAAATCATTAATTTATTAGTTATCAGGCAGTTCAATAATAGATTAATACTTAAAGTAAAAAAAAACGCCAAAACCTTCTCTGGTTCCAGCTCCAACAATAGTTGCAGGTTGAATGTTATACATGACTTAATCATAGTCTATGAACAAAAAGGATGCAAGTACAATTATTTCATTTGTAAGAAACGTGCATTTGTGTGATGAGCAGCAGAGCGGAGTGTGTGAGTTACACCATTTAAAAAGGACATAAACAGGTTTTCCACTGCTGTAAGATTTACTGCCAAGAAGCATTGTTACATCAAAGAAACACTCCAAACACAAATGTTCTTACTTTCTGTGTGTAGTTTATATTCTGCAGGTGGAGATCCATAAACTGTCGGCTCTGTGTCTCCCAGCTGTGATTGACTAATCATTTGTGTGTATTATATAAAAGTTGACTTTATGTAATGTCTACTTTTCTTTTCTGCAGGTTCTTGTGTCCAGGAAAACGGTTTTTGTAGAGCTCATTCAGAGGAGGTGTAAAGGTGTGTGTGAATGTACTGAATCATGTAGATGAGTCCAATGCTGTTTTTTTTTTTATACATGCTGTATATACTGTAAATTGTAAATATGTAATCTAACAGATCTTTGTGAAACGTGTTATGGTCAGTTTTTGGACTAATGCAAATTAATGTTTTACAAAATAGAAAATAAAAAGTACTTGCCAGTCCAGTCAGGGTTAAAGGGAGGGGTTTCATTGTCTTTCATCATGACAGACAATCACTAGAGCACTTCTCTAACTTAAATGTACATTTTACAGCAGGGAAAATGTTTTTAATCGAAATGACCAACATTTCTGCAGGTTATGAGTTCACAATGGCAACTATAAAAGATGATTTGTTTGAAAAGACAGAAGAGAAATGTTATTTATTTGTATTTAATAGGACATAATCCTTTCATATAATGAGCCACATATTTATTTATAGATAATCAGTGATTTTACATTTGAATGTAATTTAAAAAGCAGATGTACACACAGTAATTCTTCTGTTCAAAATGAGACAGATGTAATTTGTTATTGACTAAATACATAAAACAGTTGGGTTCTCACTGATTTTACAGAATCAGATTTACAATTGTATACAAAAAAATGCAAACTGCTATAAAAAGTTACAAAACTTTAATGGTGAAAAAAAAATGTGAGACTTTTTCTCCTGATGAGAAATAGTCACGTTTTAATCTCGTCTCCTATCATGTATCTGTATGCTGGGCCACACGGAGGTTACTTGCTAAATGCCAGTTAAATAGGTCGTATCAACAAAGATGTAAAAGTTTCACAAAGATTATTTTATTACTGGATTATGTATAGATTTTTTACTCTTACGTCTCCATTTTATTTCTGAACCTTGTTTGTTGCTTTTGTTTTACTTTGTTGTCAAAATGTAATTATCCACTGCAATTGTGGTTTGTGTACAGCTGTGGTTATAGTACTTGCTTTTAATGTGCTTTTATTTTCTATAGTTCCAAAGCAAAAATCTTTAAAAAGTTTTAAAGTTAAAATCTACTTGGCAGTAAATCAGATTATGAGCTTATTGTTTTGGGTGATGAAGCCTGGCTGTTCTCTTGAAGCAGCCGCTCCATCGTTCTTGTTTTATTTTTGCTTTTTGAGGTCTCATGGACGCTGCTGACTAAGAGAAAGTTAAATGCAATAATAAATTTGATATGACTGATGCTTGAAAAATAAAATAAAATTTAACATTAGAGCAAATCTGTATATCTTATTCTCTAATAGCTTTTTGTGTCTAGCCTTGTACGTTTGTATATTTCTATGATTGGTTTCTCAGGTGTTTGTGAGGGTGCAGCCACAGCACCTTGAAAACTCAGTGTTCAGACAGGCTACTTGTTGGTCAAATGTTTGTATCTTGTAATGTGAATAACTTTCTTCCCAGGTGAACATAGTGGCCAAACCTATACCAAGTTCAGTACCTAGTAGGTGTAGTTTTAACATTTACCAAGCTCATTGAACTTTAAATTAGATATTATGTCCTAAAACACGTCTGTATGGGATCTTTGATTATCAAAGTTGTGCAGCCTGCAGTTTAATACGTGTTTGAAACAGTTTCAGACGTCACAAGTGAATCCAGGATCTGTGACTGTTCTTCTCTGGACCTCCATGAAGCCATCAGACCTGGTTTCTGTGTTAAATAAATATCTGCAAAGTCTCAATAAAGAAAACCAGGATATTTGTGTAAATATATTTCTTTTACAGATCTCTGCAGTACACATTGGAAATGATTCAACAAATGTGTAAAAAGGAACTTAAAAATGTAATTTACAAATGTGTAAAAACTGTTTGTGTGTACACATTACTCTGTATTTTTGTGGATATGATTTTACATAACACAAATAAAAATACACATTTGTGAATAGTGAAATATTTGTCAATCATAGTACACATTTGCGGATTGTCTTCTGTGGGGTTACAAATATTAAAGTCCAATTAAATTTTAGGTTAATTACTAAGGTAACTTAACAAACTCTGTCGTGAGAGTATTCCCAAGCAATTAAAGGTGCATGCGTTTTAAGGGAAAAGACCATAACAGTCCTGTATTCCCCAAATATTACCAGTGTATGCACTCTAATTATCCACACATTTTAGATAATCAAACAATTAACTCCTTGCATTACTGTAAATATTAACTGCATCAACCTGTAAATACGGTAAATATTCCCTTCAGTTCCCGCTACATAAATTAATAACGTAAATCACAGTTAACACATAAATTTATAAAATTATTTATCAGTAAACTGCATTTAGGCTCCTACAACTGTATTACTGATAAATGGTTTGGTAATAAATACAGAAAATGTGTTTAATTTTACTTCACAGTCACATTTTAATTGAATGGGTCTTAACAAATGCCAACGCATTCTCACTCCCGACTGGTCACATATTGACGCTTGGTCAAGGCCCATTGGCGTCGCTTGTTAACGCCCTGGGTAGGCTGCCCCCCCTTTTGCATCATGTTTTAACTTTTAGGGCTCCGCGGTCAAGTTAGCAACGTTAGTAACAATAAATAAGCAACGTCCGGTTAGACTTTCCAAATAAAAGACTAAGATCTAAACACTGAGCTTTCAAGGTCAAAAACTCCTGAGAAATGGCCTGCTTCAATCATAGCTCATAGCCTACAAGGCTACACCAAAAAAAAAGTTTAGCCTACACTTTATAAGAAAGAGGATGAGAAATACAGAGTTTGCTGAGATGTTCAAATGATTATCCTTATATTCAAGCATCAATCGTATCAAAACGTCACACACACATTGACTGCACTTGAACAACACAGCAACTGAAGCGGTATGTAGTAACATGGTGGCAATTTGTGCTGTGGAAGTTGTTCATTTGAACACAATGTAAATAGGTTACTGCCGCTTGTCCATAGGGGATGCATTGTTGCTTGCTTGTGTTGTTTATTGTTGGTCTTTGGATGTGATTTGTGAGGCAGCGGTGGATTGATTGATGGATTGATTGATTGATTGATTGATTGATTGAACGGCGTGGATTCTTGGATGATTTGTGGTACATTGGGAAATGGTAACAAGTGGATCAAAATCAGATGTCAATGGCTCAGAGATGGATGAACAAAAGAGAGAAATTAAACTCACTTCTAAAGCTTTGGGGGATAAAATTGAAACACTACAAAAGGAACGTAGAAAAAAGGTTCACAAAATCAAAGGTCTAATACAGACAATAAAGGATCTCATGCAAAAGGATGATAATGCCCCACAAGTACAATCTTATCTTGAGAAAATGAGTCAAATGGTGGATGAAACTTTGTTACATGAGTCTGTGTTCCCATACTTCCTGAAGAGGAACAGGAAAAACAAAATTAATTGTTTATGAACATACTAAAATGCCACAATGGATTTATGGAGGATGCAAAAGGATGGTTTTCTGAAACAGGGAGACAAACAAGCCGTACTATTGCTCATGTTGTCACAAATGATGCTCCCATATTTGTATCACAAAAGGAATCAATGCACAAGTTGGACAGGACATCGAGAGACGGTACAATCACGTCCACTGTTTCAGCACAGGAATCATCAGTCGGCAACACTGGTGACAAGCAGCAGTGACCAAAGTCAAATAATTACGGTTTTGGAAAAACAAAATGAAATAACTGCTTTATTGGTTCAGCAACAATCTCGTTCATTTCTGCCTAAGAGACCTTCAGGTTTTTGACGGTGATCCTTTGCAATATCACACCTTCATGAGGGCTTTTGAACACAGCATCGAAGAGAAGGCTGACAATCCCAAAGACTGCTTGTGCTTCCTTGAACAGTACACCAGGGGGCAGCCAAGGGAGCTTGTCAGAAGCTGTCAACATATGGCACGTGACAGAGGACATGGCAAGGCTAAGGCTTTGCTACAAGAGCATTTTGGGAAAATTGCTTCAGCCTGTATGGAAAAGGCTCTTTCATGGACACCAATAAAATCTGAAGGTGTGAAATCTCGACAGGCATACAGTCTTTTTCTGCGAGGATGTTGTAACGCCATGGAAGAGTTGAACATGCCTACCACAATGCTGACCATAGTGAAAAGGTTGCCCTACAAACATAGGGACGGATGGAGAATTGTGGCTTGTGAGTTGCAGGAAAGGCGTGGCCGGACGATTCCAACTGTACTCCGCATTCATCCAAAAGAGAGAGAAATTAATTAGTGCCAACCAAAGGAGAACCTGAGACAGCAGTGGGCAGTTCTCTGATCTCTGTTCAATCCAGTGGTCTCACTGGGGCCGGGGACCAAGACTGTACACTCTCCATAGTTCCAGTTCATAAGGTGCTCTTTACCTATGCCTTCCAACGAAGGTTGAGGTCGAGGGCAACTGGACTTCTTCTGAAACGTCCAGATGCTCCAGATGCAACTTTTCTTGGATAACCATGACCTGGATGAATCTTTACAGATGTGTAGGTTTGTCTAACGCTCTCTCTCTCACAGGGGGTTCAGAGGAGCCTGAAGATGATCTGCAGTGATGTCTGTCTTTACCTCACGTATGTTTTGTTGTTAGCCTCTTTAGTGATTGTAAGGTTGTTCCTGTTGACCTGAGTCAACCATTTTTTCCTCCTCCTCCGTGTCAGCTGGGAAACCAAACATCCGTTCTCCTTTTTCTGACCGACTGCAGCATCATCTCCACACAGCACAATAAACCTGCTGTGGACTATTGTAAGACAGTTCACAGACACAAACCACTTAACATGCTGTTTTCTGAGTTTACTGGAGATTTATAACTGAATACATGACGATCATTGATAGTCACCTGTCTGTTCTATCTGAAGTCATAAAGATTACATTAGTCTTTAAGATCAATTAACCCTGGTACCGTGGGATCACTAAAAGGAATGTTAGAAAGGTAAATCTGATCTGAATTTTAAACGTGTTTTCAAGAGGAACACTTTCCAATGTAAGGTTGGCCAAAAAATGTCCACAAGGTGACTGTAGCTGTTATTGTCAAAAATATGTTCTCCTTTTTAAAAAATAGTAATGTAACTACATACACGTGTCACCGTGCTGTGCAAATATTGTACATCAACGCATTTATTCTAAAAATTACCAGAAATCGCCGTTTTGTCGTTTCTCTTGCTCATTTTGAATTGCCCGCCCAGGACCTCCGGGAACTACTGTATCTGCGGTCTCCATGAACCACGTGACGATGTAGCATTTTGGACCCCTGCTGACGCGACTCTCTCTTTAAAGGGCTCTGGAGCAGCCTACACAATATAAAGGCAATGTTGCTACAGACCGAGTGAATAATGGTAGGCCTACAGATATTCATAGTAATGTCTATGATAATAATAATAATAATAAAATAACAATAGGACTAGTAACAATAAGTGTAGCAGAGGGTGACCCGCAACCACAGATCCAGACTCCACAGCTCCAGAGCCTGAAACACCTGCAGGAAGTGATAGGAGGAGAGAGGAGAGGGACGAGAAAGCACAAGACTACCTGAAAGGGAAGAAGTCCAGTTAGTAAGAGTCTTAAAGAAATAGCTTAATCGAAATCTGACCAAAATAATTTGAATAATGAAGATTCATTGTTGCAAAAAACACACTTTTCCTCAACATTAATCCTGAATCTTAATACAATTGTTATTTATTAGATATACATATTAAAGCAGTGAGTGCAGCGGTAAAGTCAGATCCTCTTTACGCTGGGGGGGAAAGGTTGTTCGTCCGAAAGTTGGCCGCTGTATTTAAACCCCATGCAGGTTAGGGAGCTCGATTTAGGTGTGAAGGTGACTCCGACCAGAGAAAACAAAGGTTTTAAAGAGCATTGCAGGGCAGGTTCATGAGGTGTGTAACAATTTGATTTAAAGGTATATAGTCAATTGATTCTGTGTTTAAATGGTAGACTATGTTTTCTTGTCATTTAATTCAATTTGTGTAAATTACTTGAATTTAAACTGGAGGATTGGTGTATTTTGTGTAGGTTTCTCTTATAAATAGGTTATTTTGACAGTGATAATGAGGTGCTGCTAGTATTGCTGTTGTATACAGAAAGGAAATGCAATGCTTATATCAGTGAATGTGTTTATTTTTATACATATTGTAGAATAATGTTTATAGTTTATTTTATTATCTCTACTGAAATGTCACAGGACATTTAAACTGACTGTAACAGAGGTTGGTGAACTTGTGTTCGTGTAGGTGGTTCTGCAGAAATACAACAAATATAAATAATAAGGTTTAAGTCACATGCATAACAGAATATTCCCCATCCTGTACATGGTTTTTTCCTCAGGTTAAGAGTATTCATAACAGAACAAAGTAAGTACTTTAGTAATTGACTACTCAAAGGTTATAACTAGAAGCCACCATAGTAAAAAAAAACACCAATAATATTTAAGAACACTAGTCATCCATAAGCAGTAAGGTATGACCGCTTATACAGACAGAGAATCCGTTCACATCAGGAAACATAATCAAAGTCCACCACCTAGTGGTAAACAGGGGCATTAAAAGGCGCGTCTATTTTACCTAAACCAGAGGCTATAATGTACATTATGTACATGTTGTGTTATGACAGGTTGTAATATGGACTTTTAAAAAATGATTATATTAGTATTAATATCGTTAGCATTGTCTGTGAAGGTTTTCAGTTATCCAAAGAAGGTTAAAGACAAGACCTTAACATACAGTAAATCAATAAAAACAAGTAACTCGTGGTCATTTCCTGTTTATACAATGAGTAATAGAGCTAAAACAATCAAATCACACAGGTGATTTTCAGAGCTTCCAGCTGAACGACGGCTGCTAATGGTCAGTTTGTTTTGTTTTTCAGTTACAATCTGTGGAAAGATTTAAGCTCTTGGACATTTTAAGTTGGCTGCTCGAATTTGTTAACAGAATTTGTTCAAGTTTAAGGCCTACAACGGCCTAACGAACGTAAACATGGGTAGTAACAAACTTTATAATCAACCTATAGGCCTACAGACGTTTGTCTGGTTTTGAATTAAATGCTGATGGAATCACTTCCTGTCCATCAGATAGACATCTAGTGTAGGAACGTTTGCCTGAGGGCACGTAGTCCAGTAATAGGAAGTCAAAAGTTATTAAATAGTGGTCAGATAAAGTGGGATTCTGTGTAAAAAAAACTACTAAATGTTCAATTTCAATGCCAAAACTAGGTTGAGGAGGGTGTGGTTTAAACAGTGACTGGCTTTATGAACACTGACTGAAGCCACCTGAATCTAATAGGGCGTTAAATGCAGCACTAAAGCTATGTCATTGTCAACAAACTCATTTCATGTTGTCATTATGAGTATTGTTCTGGATGCACGGTATATAGCTAATGTAAGTCTCTGGATAATGTTATATAGAAGGGATCATATTTAGACTCATCAGTCTAACTGAGTTAATAAATCAAGTGAGAGGTCAGATTATTATCATATACTTCACCCAGAGGTTCTCTCGTGCTTCTCTCACACTGTTGAGTCAAAATTGAAATATCCACTAGACTGTTAAAGAAATGTCACCAAAATGAGAGAGAAGAAGCTATCTCAACAAAAACAGTGTGAAAAGTAAACAATGTGATGAGATAACTTAAAAAAGAGGGACCTGATAAAAGTATCAGATCAAATCCTAATATTTATTTCCAAATGCTCAGCAGCTAAAACCAAAAAGGAAAAATATGGTAAATAATCAGTTGACTTGTTAAACCAGCAGACCCCAGATCTGGGTCTTGGATTAAAATCTGTAACGTGGCCTTTATACAATAATGTAATTTGTACCTCAACCATGTAGTGCCATCAAACATCCACAAAAGCTTGAGCTGTAGTATAAGATAAACCTTTGTTAGTCCCCCGTACAGGGGAAATTTAGATTAACGGTTGATTCTGTTTTTATTTGGTTAAAATCACTACCAGTCTGAATAAACTGGTGATAAATTGACCCCATCTATCTCTACCAGCCTATCCACACAAAGTTGTTTGGTCTGTTTCAATTTGTGCAAATTTTGTGGAATGTTTAGTGTCAAAGAAAAATCATCAACGAATATTCCTCATAGCTTTTTTCATTTCATCCCCGGTGTGAAAAAGGTCTTTAGGCAGCTCAACGTGGGACGGGACTGAAATTAAACAAATGTTTTTATTATTGGAGTTGACTTTTTATTTTATTAAAGTAGGTCTATTTAAGTGGAACCTCCACACTGATACTCTGATTGTTGTTCATCAGAGGTTATTAAAATCTAAATATTTCCAACATATAATTTAATTTCTTACTCTAATTATTGACTGTTGCAGTTTCTCTAAGTGATTTGGTTGTTTTAGTCTCCTTCCTCAACAGAGTGTCGCCCTCTAGTGTCTAAACACACACACTGTCTTATTCTGTGTAGTTTCACTGAGAGCAGAGCTCAGAGGTAAAATGCTGTCTGTCACAGATCTGAGTTATTTCCTGCTCTGGGATCAGATTTTAGCCTTTTATTTATTTATAAGATGTCATTAACTTGTGAAGGCTCATGATAATTAGCGCCAGAAAAACAATGAAAATACGACAATGTGTGTAACTTTTTAACTAACATAATTATTACTTATTCTGAATGAGATTTATCCTTGTAAATAATTTTGGAATCATTTTAATCTAAGAGTTTTTGTAAAAGTACTGGTGAATCTATTGAACATGTGTTTTTAAAGATGTAGATGTTAAACAACCTGTTGGGCAAATGGGAAGTACTATATCACCTGGAGTGAGAAGGACTTAGGTTTATTCAAGGTGGGAGCGGTTTGGTTGGTGTACGAGAGATGGCAGAAGGAAGAGGGCGTGTGTGCTTTTTGCGAATTCAAGTTATGTGGGAATAATCGGAAAAGTGATTTCCCGACTGAGAAAATTAATTTAACGGCCGCCTGAAGTCGGAACAACAACTCGGAAAAGCAGAGAACATTTTAGCACTTTTTCAGCACACTTTGACGACAATGTTAATGACAGTTCAGCGTTCATGTTGTTTCCACTTTACCATGTAAAAGCACATGAACCCACCGAGAGCGACTTCACAACACGGGAAATGGGATCATACAAGGAGCACTTGAACGCAACGTCCACATTCAGCACTCTGTTAACGAGTCCAGTAACTTTGTTTTTAAGTAATTTATCTAACATGTTGCAGTTGAAAGCTCTGGAGCTTCTGTTCTCCTGGTTCTGCCTGCTGACTGTGTCTGGAATAACTCCTGGACACATGGATACAAACGGTAAGAAAGCTAATGCGTAACTTTAAAGGTAATGATAACACAACATTTGGTCAAGCGAAATACGCCATTACAGGTTCATTACAGGTTCATTACAGGTTCATTACAGGTTCATTCATTTGGGAGCTGTCATGCCGACTGTTGTTTAATGGCCATCAAGAGGTTTCCATGAACTAAATATTTATTTCATTCCCACTGCAGAGTTGTGGTTTTAAGAAGTTACATTTCAGACGTCGTTTCATTCTGTGTAGCGACTGTTTATGTCGTGCGGCTCCTTCTATGAACAACCAGGTGACTCCTGAAATCCACTGACGCCAGGAATCAACAGCAGTGTCCCCCAGATTCATTCAGGAGCGGCTGATGTTTTCACTTAAACGCTTTGCTCGCTTGCTCTCCTTGTTCTATACGGAACATACAGTAAGTGAAAAGCTGCTGTTAGAGCTGCGTGACTCCAAGTGTTTGATTGTCTGAGCGGCAGAAAGTGACGTCAGTAAATGTGTTTAGGCTACAGGGTGTCAGTTTCTCAAGACCAAGAGAAGACTGTCGTTTCCCAAAGAGCTCGAAAAAGGGAGACGCTTACTGCCAGTTAACCACACTCACTCGCACCTTCTCTCTCCCCTGACTTCTTTTTGCTCCCTCCCTCCCTCCCTCCCCTGACTTCTTTTTGCTCCCTCCCTCCCCTGACTTCTTTTTGCTCAGCTATGTTTTTGGCTCTATGTGCGTGATGACGTAGTAAACACAACGTGAAGTTGCTCCAGAGGCGTGTGAGCTCTGGTCACTCTGGACAAAACTGCATGAAACTAAATGAGTAAATGTAAATACATACATGAGAAAGAAACTAGCCATTTTAAACTAAAGAGGAGACGATTCTTTATGATTATTGTGCAAATGAAATGCTTGGTAATTAAGGGAGGTGGTTCTCATGTTGCCTATTTTCATATTCATTTCTACAGATAAGCTAAAGAAGTTTTACATTGAGACACAAAAGGCAAACATGAACTGTCTTATCTACAATGATTATGAGGTCATATTAACAGGGGTTTCCTGCCGTTAAAGGCTTGATGTGGGGCCCAAAACGGCTTGGGTGCTGTGTCATGAATGTAAAATCACTGTGGAGAGAGGATGGAAACTAAAACTAAATAACTTCTCCAAAATCTATTGGTTATAGTTCCTCTCCAGACAAATTATTTAGCAAGTTTAGTCCTTATGCTTTCTGGTTGTTGTTTTTTATTTATTATCTGCTGCATTTCCAACTATTTGTTCACACACATGGTAAAAATAATGGTCCCAAATGATGTGAAATTGCACATTTGTCATTGGACAAAGTCAAATTTTAGATGTGCATCACTTGCTCATGGACACAACAGCCCTGCAGCTGAAGTTTTGTACTGGGGTTACTGACTGTGTTGTAAGACTGCAAATACACTGAAGCAGTGATCACTACATACATTTTAAACTCAGTATCATGGGCTTCATCTGTAAAGAGATCACTGTAGTTACTGAGGTTGGATTTGTCATCAATAACTACTGTATCTAAGGTGGCAGACGCCTTTATCCAAATCGACTTACATCTGAGGAACAACATAGAAGCATCAGGTCAGAGAGATCTACAAGCAACACTAGATGTTAGTAAGAGATATTAAAGCATACGGTGTCACTGGGGTAAATACCTGTGGGAAGCAATAGGAGTTAACAAATGGTGCCGTCAAGACAAGCACATGTTAAGGAGAGAGATGAAGAAGAAGTGCAGGCTGGATGTTAGCGGCTCAGAGGAAGTGTTCTTGAAAGAGGTGACTTTAAGACAACATTTAAATGTGATGTGGATGCAAATCTATGTCCTGATGTAAATGACAAAACATATGTTCATGTTTTGTTTATCACCACTAAATTACTTTATTTGAACTTGTTTGACTTTTTGCCTTTGTGGAAAAAAGAATCTTTCTTCTAGTATTTGTAGTTCATGAAAAAAATCCATTGTGCCCAAACAAAAGTGCATCCATCCAAAGTTAGTTTGTGTGCGTTTTGTTTTCCCTGAGCTAAATTTTGACTGAATAAAAGGGGTTTTGTTTCTTTTCATTAGTTTTTCATTTAGACACTTTCTGATTTGTTGTTTGTATGAAGAGTTAAGAGAAAACAACACTTTGCAGTTTTGGTGTTTGTCACCTGTTCTTAAAACCAGGCTTTTGTTCTAACAGAGCATCAAAGTAATGAAGAAAACTGTGATCTGAATATGTCTTCATTTCTGCTGTAATCTATTATGATATTTAATAATAGGCAAAATCCAAACACACAATATCAAACTTGGCTCACACTGAGACCTTGTGGTGTCCGAACGATAATGCTGCGATGATGTGTTGAGAAGAAATCCGCTTGACACTGTTCTTGATTATAAAAGTTTATTACATCAAAGAATTCAGCATCAATTACAAGCTCTGCAGCAGCTTGGAGAGTGACCCAGCCCGAGGACCACTCTGTCTCTCTGTACATCGAACACAGCTTATATAGGTCATGTTTAGGTCTCTGCTAAAAACCATATAAGGGCACAGTGCTGTAGAATAAGTGTAACCATCTGTTAGACACCACAGAAGGGTACAGTCCCTTCATACACACTAATCTCTTTATACACACTAATCTCTTTATACCTAATCTCTACTTCCCCTAACACTGCACCCATCAATCATTACTTCCCCATAAGGGTTCACTGTCCCTCTCACCAGCTGCAGAGCATTATGTTAAACTGTAATGGCCAGATGCACATATGTTATACACCACAACCTCAGTCTAAAAACAAACAAAACAACTCTCCAACACTGTCTTTGTGATTCATCAGGGCCTTGTTTCTGACACAGTTTCATTTATTCATTCACACTGTTGATGTCAAAGCACATCTGAACCCATTTAGATGCAGATGTTTAGTCTTTAGAAACATCAAAATCCCGGTCAGATATAATTGTTGAACGCAAACATGATCTTAAACATGAGCGCTTTTATGATCAATCTGTCATCGATTTATGGACAGAGACTCTCCGGACATCGTTCAGAATAAAATCTACAGGCTGCACTGTCCTGTATTACACTCAATGTGTTTTAACAGCATTTCATTAAACACCAAAGGAGCAAGATTTTTTTATCTGGCATTTATCTAAAACTTTACAGTCAGTTTGAAGCTGGACACATTTCCACTGCAAAAAATAATTAATACTGAGTTTGACTGAACTAATTCTGATCGACTTTCCCACCTCAGGCTCAATCAGCTCAGAGTTTGTTGAACCTGCTTTCTGAAACAGCCCTACTGTCTAATGTCAGCCTACATACGGCAACATGTGAACAACATGTGAATGGGGAGTACTCATCTTGTCACAAGATCTCTGACGTAATTGCTGACGTAACCTGCACTCTGCGCATGCGTTGGCGTCTGTAGCCACCTGTCGGAAGCTCCGTCTTAAACCGAACTCTTATCCAGTTTTAATCCACTCTTTTTCGTTACATTTTTGATATCCTTTTTATTTAACTTAAGTTTTACGTGGGTTAAGGATTTTAGCCATCCGACATGGATTTTAAGCTAGATGACTGTAAAAACGCGATCAACGCTACTGATCGCAACAAGGCTCCGGTGACTATGCTAGCCGAGATAACTCTGCCCCATGAGGACTTTACACTCCTTAAGAAAGCGAACAAGAAGATTGCTGACCTTATGGAAGACATCCGACGACTTTCAGAGGAACTCAAAGAGAAAGATTCCCTGCTGACTGGCTTTATGGATGTAGCTTCAGTACAAGCCAAACAGATCTCTTAGCACAACCGCTAACATCCAGGACACCGTGTTTTGGGACCCCTCTAGTCTTCCCAGGCTTTCCTCCTGCTCGACTCAGAAGCATCAGTCAACCTGGGCTGAAGTGGTGGTCCGTGGCTGCAAGAGAAGCTGGGACGGGGCTGCCTCTCCTCCGCACATCGGCCTCTCCAACCGCTATGCAGCCCTGTCTGACGACACTCCGGTCCATCCAGCGGATGCACCTGCGGCTTTGAGTCTCCCCGATACGGATACCTGCCGACACTGTTGCATCTCCTCCACCGGCTACATCTCCTGCGCTGGGCCTGATCGGCGGCCGTCATCACGGTCAAAAACCTCCGCTTCCCGACGTAGGATCCTGAAGGAGGCTGTGCTCAGACGGTCTGGAGGCCGTCTCTACCCTGCACCGTCGGGTAGCCCTTCTCTCAGGTCTGTTACTGCTACTCCAACACAACACTCGGCAGCTCACACACTACGGTGCTGGCCGCTTCAGTAGACTCCTTGGCCTCCACGACTGGCTGCAGTCCACCTGCAGGGCTCACCGTGTGTTTTATGTGGATAATTTTAATATTTTGTGGCAAAGAATGTCTCTTTTTAAGACAGACGGACTTCACCCAAACAAACGGGGCTCAGAAATGTTAGCTGCTCACATACAGCATGTGGTGCGGTCCACACATGACTTACGTGAATGACTAATCATTCATGCAGCACACCTGGACGCACCACCGCTCACTGAACAGATCTCTGCCTCACTGCCACAAACAACTGTCTCCACCTGCTGGCATGTAAAGCCGTCTGCTCCCAGCGCTGTTCCAAAGACTTCTATTCCTGTCATCATCACGCATAGACCAGTAAACCGAAATGTGCACATCCCACACAGAAATAATAATAATCTCTTCAGGATTAGGACAACTGCACCAACTCCAGCACCCAGAACAAACTCATTTAAAATGGCTGTCTTCAATGTGAGATCACTGTCAAGTAAGACTTTTATCTAAAATGATTTTATCTTTTATCTGCAAATCTAGATTTTATGTTTTTAACTGAATCCTGGTAGCAAATTAATGACTATAGCCAGCTAGCTGAACTGTGTCCGCCTCAATATGACTGTTTTAGTTAAAATGTCGTCAAGTACACTGTGATGAATTTAACTCCTTTGAAGTTCTCACTCTTAAAGTTGGAGGGCTGCAACCTATCATATTTGTTATAATTTATCGCCCCCCAAAACCGCCTGGAGGATTTTTATCAGAACTTCCTGAATTTTTATCTACTATGGTTTTAAATTATGACAGAATTGTTCTTTGTGGCGATTTTAATATTCATGTTGATGACCCCAACAATGTTAATGCAACTGACTTTTTAAATATGGCCACTTCTTTTAACTTCAAACAACATGTCAAAGGGCAAACACATAACCGTGGTCATACACTGGACTTGGTCTTTACCCTGGGTGTCAGCATTTCCTCTGTGGAATTAGTGGACATGACCATATCTGACCACAGATGTATTGTTTTTAGCTGCGATTCGCCTGTTACTCATGCCGCCTCACCAAGCTCCGTGTGTTGTCGCATCTTTAATGAACAAAGTGTTTCAAAGTTTTGCGCATTCTTTCAGAGCCAAAGCCAACACCTGTCTGATTCCAACACCAACAATCTGGTCGATCACTTCAATCATATCTGCTTGTCGTCACTAAATATTACTGCTCCTCTAAAGGTTAGGCCTACGTCTAAAGCTAGTAAGCAACCCTGGATAAATGACAGCATTCGCAGCCTCAAAAGGGAATGCATGGAAAAAATCCAGTCTCCAAGTCCATTACCTCAGTCTGAAGGATTTATTAATTAAAGTTAATTAATAAATCCTTAATAAATCTCGCATCCTTAACCATGTTATTGTAGTTCTACAATAACATGGTTAAGGATGCGAGAACACACTATTTTTCTGAACTCATTACTACACATAAACACAATCCCAGGTTTCTGTTTAAGACTGTGGATCAGCTGGTAAACCCAACCCCTCCTTGTGCCTCAGCTGGAAGTAATGATGACTGTGAATTGTTTTTATCTTATTTTACCAATAAGGTGGTGTCAATCAGAGCCTCTATTACCCCCGCGGCCTCTTACTCAGAGGTTCCTCACCAGCAACAAGAGAGTTTTAACCAGTTTTATCCCATCGACTTGTCTGAGCTTTTAAAAACAGTATCACAAATGAGAGTGTCCTCCAGCCCACTTGATGTAATACCTACAAAGTTTTTACTGAAAGTAATGGATTCTGTTGGGCCCCATTTGATCTCTGTTTTCAACAGCTTCCTATCTACTGGTTGTGTCCCTGATTATTTAAAAACGGCTTGCGTGAACCCACTTTTAAAGAAACCTGGTTTAGATCCCTCCCTCCCACATAATTTTAGACCAATTTCAAAACTGCCTTTTATTGCAAAGATTCTAGAAAGAATTGTGTCCAAACAGCTGCTCACTGTACTGGAAAATAACAAATTATTTGAAAAGTTTCAGTCTGGTTTCAGGAAGTACCACAGCACTGAGACTGCCCTGCTTAAAGTCACCAATGACCTTTTAATGTCTGCTGATGAAGGCATGTGCTCAGTCCTTGTACTCCTGGACCTTAGCGCTGCTTTTGACACCATTGATCACAACATCATGTTAGACAGACTGAGGCACTGGGTGGGGATCTCTGGTACTGCCCTAGAATGGTTTTCATCCTACCTGTCAAATAGGAAGTTTTGCGTGTCTGTAAACAACTATGTCTCTTCGTTCTGTCCAGTTAAATATGTTGTGCCTCAGGGGTCGGTCTCAGGACCCATTTTGTTTTCCTTGTATCTGCTTCCCCTTGGACATATTATCCATAAACATGGTATTTCTTTTCATGTTTATGCTGATGACACACAAATATACTTGCCCGTCAGATCCACAGACCCTGGAATGCTGAGTTAACAACTGCCTTTGTGAAGTTAAAAAAGGATGTCAAATAATTTCCTCCAACTGAACTCAGACAAAACAGAAATCCTGGTCATCGGGTCTCAGCAGATAGCAAATCAAATACTGCCATCTGCTGGTTCCCTAGTAAATCACATTAAGCCTGTGGCAAAGAACCTTGGTGTTTGGTTTGATAGTAATTTAAATTTCGAGCAGCACACCACAAAGCTTGTTCAATCATGTTCTTTATCAACTTAGAAATATAGCAAAAATTCAATCTATGTTAACTTTTAAGGACACCGAGACCATTTTACACGCCTTCATCTCATCACGCCTGGATTATTGCAACAGCCTTTTCACCTGTTTAACCCAAAAATCTATTGATCGACTCCAGACTGTCCAGAACTCAGCTGCCAGGCTTTTAACCAGAACAAAGAAATATGACCACATTACTCCTATTTTAGCTTCATTACACTGGCTCCCAGTATGTTTTAGAATTGACTTTAAAATTCTATTGATCACTTTTAAAGCTCTTCATGGCCTCTCGCCTTGTTATATTTCTGACCTTTTAGTCCCATACGCACCAGCACGTACCTTGAGATCCTCGGGCAGAGGTCTGTTGTCTGTTCCAGAGTCTCGACTGAAAACTAAAGGGGACAGAGCGTTTGCTGTCAGGGCCCCGAGGCTCTGGAACAGCCTGCCCGAGGAAATCAGGTCGGCTGAGTCAGTGAACTCTTTTAAGTCCCTTCTTAAAACATACTTTTATAGGAGAGCCTTTCCCGATCTTATATGACTTTATTTTATCCCTTTTATTTTATTCTATTTTACTAATTTTATATTAATCTTAAACGTGTATTTTAGTCTTTTCAATGTTTTCTTGCTTTTATCTTGTATTGTTTTTGTATTATTGTCTTTACACTTGTTAAAGCACTTTGTAACTTGTTTTTGAAAAGTGCTCTACAAATAAAGATTATTATTATTATTAAATATTCTTAAATGACGCCAACATGAAAAATCTCCATAAATAATGTGCCGACTAACTAACGTGTTTATAAACTGGTGTTTCAGAGTCATTGAGGTGACATGTAAATGTGTTATCTGATGTTCTGTCTGAACCTGATTGATCTCTATTTGAACAGAATGACTAAAATAAACTTCTTCTTTCAGGGTCGGGTGACGTCAGAGTGGTTGTGAAAGAAGGGAGTGACGCCATTTTACCCTGTTCACTCAGCACCAAGGAGAACGCTGAGGAGAAACTCTTTGACTGGAAGAAAGATGGTCCGAAGGAGATTTTCTTTTATGATGCAGGAATTCATTATAACAACGGCCGTCCAGGTCAAGATCAGCAGTTCAAAGGTCGCGTCTCACATTTTCAAGATGAGCTGAAGTACGGCATCGCCTCCATCATCATCAGAAATACGAAGGTGACCGACAGAGGAGACTACACCTGTGATTTTCAACTTCTTCAGCCAAGACAGATATTCAACATTCAGCTACTTGTTGGTGAGTGTTTTCATTAAAGGGGTGTTATGTAGTTTTCAGCGACCACTAGCGGTGCAGTTTTTAGAGTGCAACCAGGCGTGTGCTCGAACTCAAGAGCGAGCAAACTCCGACACAGAAAGAGCAAAACACCAGGAGACACTTTCACCTGAGTATCAGTAAAATTACTAAAAATCTAAACTGAACGTTACGAAGCAAACAACAGTAGAGCCGTGCTAAAGTAGCTGGCTGCTCCTGCCTTGCATCAAGGCCGGTATAAACATCTCGTTCAGTCTGACGGGCTACAGCACATAACACTTTTTAAAAATCTTTTTTATCCTTACATGGAGTTTGTGCTGGGAGCCTGTTGTTTTGTGGTGTTAGTGGACTCGTTAGCTGCGTTGTTGTCACTGTGGTTGGAGAGAGGTTCAGGAGCCCGACCCGTGGCTGTTGCAAGCAACAGAGAAAAGAGGCGTGTGCTTCATTTCTAAGTGATGTTAGAGCCCACTGACAAAAAGGCTGAACAAATTTAATGTAGTGATAAATTATTTCTTGAAAAACTACATACAGCCCCTTGAAACAGTTAATCTATTTTGTTCGTCCAGATCTCCAGCTGTGTTTTCAGGTTTGGTTTGACTCCAGCTGTTCTTCCTCGTCTGTTCAGTCTTCTGTTTAAACCACCGACAACGAGGAACACCTTGAAAGTACGACTTTAATCACATATCAGCAGTTTAATGTTGACAGCTGAGAATTTAACGGGCGTGTTTTTACTATTTGCAGTAACGTAGCTTGTTTCTCATTTCACCGTTTTAATTATTCTCAACATCAGACTATATCTGTATAAACAGTGTTGTCTAATTTTATATCTCTTCTGAAATTATACCGATATACCTGGCAGCCCTACTTTGAAGTTATGATGAATCTCAGTTTTAAATTCAACTCTGTGGTAAAGTTTAAGGCCTCAGTAAGGTCAGACACAGTTGAGACATCTGCCCTCTGTAGCTCCTGTACTTTCAGCCTGTGATGCTCTTTGTAACATTTACCTGACGTCTTTTTCTCCTTCTCCCCCTTTTCTTCCTTTACCTCTACTTGTTCTTTTCTTTCCTCATAAGAAACTATAATCAGACATGCAAGTTGTCCTCTTCCTGCTTTAACTCTCCTTGGCCTGCCTGATCTTTGTCTCCACATCATGTCAGAACTGAGCCTCTGCTTCTTCTGACTGCTCTGCATCTGATCTCAGGTGACTTAACTGCTTCTGTTCAATGCTCTACTTTAACTACTTTTGAGTTTCCTTCAACAAAATGCATATGATTACATTTACATAAACTCTAATTCATCCTCAGCCAAATGTTTTGTTAATTTGACAAAAAAAACAACAACAACAACCTGGAAAAACTAAATCTTGTAATTGAACATTTAGGTATTTAAAATAAGTGTTAAGTGTTTTGTTTTGAGTTTAAATAAAATGTTGATTTAATTCTGGAATTATTTTGAATAAATTATTAACAAATAAATCAGACAATGCAAAAGCAATTTATTGATATTCCCAAAGTTATGGTCTTGACTGGTCTTGAAATAAAATCCCGATGTTCACGAGGGGGTAACGGTTTTGAAACGGAGACCAAAATTGCGACATCAAAGTCCACGGTCTCGTGTCGTGGATCCAAGAAACAGAACCGCGACACACCCGCTCCGCAGACTGTAGAACACAATGCAACTGTGGGTGGCGGCGGCCGGTGGAGGGTGGGCTCTGTAGCGGTGTTTATTTTTTTTATGTTAATATTCTCTTTCAGATCTCACCTTCAGAAACCGTTTAAACGAAATCACAGGTGCGTCACTGATCTGTACATGTGTGCTACAACTCTCTGGGCCTCAGTATCATTTAAACCTTTGACGCAGGACCTTCATGTTGACTAACCATCACAGCAGGTTCTGCACATTTGGATGTTACTGATCTCTACATCTGCTTTGTTTATTCGCTGCTTTTGAGACACAAACACACACCTGCTGCTGTTTTCTCAGAGGCACTTGTAGGTAAACTGCCTGTAGCCACCAGCAACACTGTCAGACTGATCAGTACTTTCTCCTGATCTGTCTTTAAGTTTGAAACCCTGAGTTTTATATTTGAATGGAAACTACATTTGTAGTGTTCTGTTTACATGATTTTCTTATTACTGTGTTCACAGGTGCAGCTGCAGAGCCGTCCATCACGATAGTTAACATCACAGAGTTTGGGGTCCTGCTGCAGTGTGACGTTAGAGGTGCTTTTCCTAAACCTACAGTAGAGTGGCAGGACGGTGCTGGAAACAAACTTACTGCTGAAGAGACACAGGTCTCAGAAAGAGAAGGTCACTTCTACATCACCCTCCAAACCACTGTGACCAAGACCAAAACCAACCACTTCTATTGTGTAGTCCAGCAGGACGACATCGGTCATATGATCAGTAGTAACATCACTTTGCCAGGTGAGATTCATTTTAGTGGTTTTATCTGCAAGTAGTTTTACATGTTCATAGATTTTAGCAGCATGGCCGCCTCAGTAGTAGTTCTGTGTAGGTAATAACCAGTGTGCTGTACATGAGATACAGTTTACATTCTGAGTGTGACTCTAGGTTTTGTTGTGTGTTTCAGAGAAACTGTTTGAGGACACGTGCAGCAGAGGGGACGTCACAGGATGGTTGTTTGGTGGATTTGTTTTAGGAGCTCTACCTATGGCAGTTCAAGGTTTTCTTGTAGCTACAAAGATCATCACAGTACGCTGTAATAATGGTGAGTTTATATAATGGATTCTATCAACATAACAGATACAGAAACCATCTCATGTCACAATGTTCTTTCTTCAATGTTCTTTTTTATTAAATTGATTGATTTGCTTTTATTGGACAGGAGCAGCTGATGAGAAACAGAAAAATGGGGAGGAATCAAACCTGCAGGCTCCACCAGGTGAGTTACCGGGCGCCCCTTACGTTTGGTATTTACATAAAAAATAAAAATAATCCACTAAGCTTCATTTATTTATTTATGAGGCCTCTGGTTCACATTGTGATTGTTAAAAATATAAAGCAAGCTTTAAATACATAACTGTCCATTAAATGGATGTTTTGACAGTTTCTTTAAACAGATGTTTGAATATCAAATTCAAATTAGCTTTATTGGCATGAATGTGTAGCAACAATATTACCAAAGCTGCATATAAAGTACATAAGGACAATTAATTTCATATATATTATATAAGGAAATAAAACAGCAAAAGTTGTTTGTGTGTGTTACCAAATAAAATAATAATAATAAAAAATATATAATATAAACATTCTGTAAAAATAAATATAAAAAAAGTAAATAAGTAAAACAATAAGCCTGTGTTAGAAAATTAAAGTAATATATTAAAATAAATAAAGTGTGTTATTATAATATACTAAAAAAATTTTTAATAAAACTGTAAATTTGTATATTAATAGACAATAAAAAATTATTTCATTTAAATAAAATAAAAAAATCAGTATCAAATGTGAGACTAAAATCTCAACAATTACTAAAATATCACACAATCAAAATAATAATTTACAATTATTTATTAGTCTAAGTTTATATCATTCACTTCTTGTTTTTCCATTTTGTCTCTGGAAACATTTGAAAGTAAAAGTCCTGAATATTCTGCCTGTCTGCTGATACTGACCACCATTTAAATGATTTGATTATTTGTAAAAAAACTGTCTGTGCTGTTATAACCGAATTATTTCCAAGAAACTTCATGTGATTTTGTAGGTGTTACGCTGAAAGTAGCCTATAATATTGTGAAAACATCAACCTACATTACCTCATTAACTGGTTATTGTTCCATTAATGTCGCCATGTTACCAATTATAATCCAAATATTGTTCATGTAACAATTTTATTGTTAGGTACCACATTTTCATCAAAACATAACTAATACTAAAGAACTTTTGCTTTGTTGCAATCTTTAATGTGTTTCCCCATTATTACCCTTTGTTTGTTAACCTTTTTGCCCTGTTACTGTATTTTTTGCCTAAAACCACCCAGATAAATCAGACGCTGGACGATTAATTACAAAGTAACCGAAATTCAATTTAATCAACGTAATTTCCCCTTGTTGGTTATTTCGTTTTTTTAATCCTATTAATATTTCCCCACAGTTTGTGTTCACGTACTTTCCTCTAAAAAACATACTACAGCATGTGTAGTCATGTGACTTCACCCCATTTAGTTAGTTTTGGTGTCCTCCACAATGGTTTTACATTCATGGCACAGTACCAAGCTGTTTTAAACCTCACGTCTTAAGCAGGGAAAACCCTGTTAATGACCTCAGAGTCATTAGAGATAGGATTGTTCATTTTTGGCATTTGTCTTAATTTACTGCTTTTTTTTTTTTTAATGTTTTTGTTGATACCAACTAAACCAAATAATAGGCAACATGAGAACCACCTCCCCTCTGTTTAATTACCAAGCATCTCATTAGTACATTAAATTCAAAAGAATCGTCCTCATCAGCTTAAAGGACTAGTTTTTATCCATCATTTGTTTTACTAACCTCAGCTCTTCCATGGTCACTGCCGTCCATTCTTTTCCTGACCAACCAGAAAACAGATATAATTTCAGTAGGATGTTCAGTATGTGTACAGGACGGAGCTGTAACCTGACAACTTCCTGCTCTTACAGCAGCACCTGTCATGTAGACGTCCTTTGATGAATGAGGAGAGGCAGCCAGCAGAGCGTTGAGTGTTACCCTGCTTGCTCAGTGTGCAGGTGAAAATCATTAGTTGCACATTGATATTAATCATAAAATGTTAGTAGCACCAAATACAGGGGGGACATTCTTTGTCGTAGCACCACAGAGTCTCCGCCGCTGCACTCCCGACTTCCGTCAACATTACGTATCAGTTAGCAAAAAACGACTTATGACATTCATGAATTACCTTTAATAGTATATTTGATATATTTAACATTAATAGTATTTAATAGAGCATATCGACAGCACAAACCTGGTCAGTGAACTATGAGGACAAACAAAACAAAAGTTCATTAATCGTGGTAAAATATTTAATTGTGATTTTAGGTCAAATCTTCCAGCCCTAGATACACCCATTGTTAAAACCAAGCTATTACTTAGTTATCTTTAAAATAAAAATATTCCCAAGTTATTACCAACCTATAATGTAACGTGCTACCAAGTTTTCTTACTCTGAGGTCAGATTTGTCCTTTCGCCAAAACCTTCTCTGGTTCCAGCTCCAACAATAGTTGCAGGTTGAATGTTATACATGACTTAATCATAATCTATGAATAAAAAGGATGTAAGTACAATTATTTCATTTGTAAGAAACGTGCATTTGTGGGATGAGCAGCAGAGCGGAGTGTGTGAGTTACACCATTTAAAAAGGACATAAACAGGTTTTCCACTGCTGTAAGATTTACTGCCAAGAAGCATTATTACATCAAAGAAACACTCCAAACACAAATGTTCTTACTTTCTGTGTGTAGTTTATATTCTGCAGGTGGAGATCCATAAACTGTCGGCTCTGTGTCTCCCAGCTGTGACTGACTAATCATTTGTGTGTATTATATAAAAGTTGACTTTATGTAATGTCTACTTTTCTTTTCTGCAGGTTCTCGTCCCCAGGAAAACGGTTTTTGTAGAGCTCATTCAGAGGAGGTGTAAAGGTGTGTGTGAATGTACTGAATCATGTAGATTAGTCCAATGCTGTTTTTTTTGTTTTTTTTATACATGCTGTATATACTGTAAATTGTAAATATGTAATCTAACAGATCTTTGTGAAACATGTTATGGTCAGTTTTTGGACTAATGGAAATTAATGTTTTACAAAATAGAAAATAAAAAGTACTTGCCAGTCCAGTCAGAGTTAAAGGGAGGGGTTTCATTGTCTATCATGACAGACAATCACTAGAGCACTTCTCTAACTTAAATGTACATGTTACAGCAGGTTGTTAAAGAAAATTACAGGGAAAATATTTTTTAATCGAAATGACCAACATTTCTGCAGGTTATGAGTTCACAATGGCAACTATAAAAGATGATTTGTTCGAAAAGACAGAAGAGAAATGTTATTTATTTGTATTTAATAGGACATAATCCTTTCATATAATGAGCCACATATTTATTTATAGATAATCAGTGATTTTACATTTGAATGTAATTTAAAAAGCAGATGTACACACAGTAATTCTTCTGTTCAAAATGAGACAGATGTAATTTGTTATTGACTAAATACATAAAACAGTTGGGTTCTCACTGATTTTACAGAATCAGATTTACAATTGTATACAAAAAAAGGGAAAAGCTATA